TTCTTTAACTAAATTGATAGCAATAAAAGTTTTCTATGTTAAAATTTCTGGGATCATTTGAGTGTTTCTGTTAATGTGTCAGTTTGGAATAAAACATCATTCCTAAAGGTTTTAAAAGGTCTTAAATGTAACTTACTGAAACCTGCATGAACCCTGGTGTTTATTGAAAAAAAAAAAGGCAAACATTACCCTCTCCACCCAGTTAGACATCAATTGTAAAACTTTATCCCATCARTCAGGTCATATCCAGACAACCGGAAAACCTGAACTAATTTTTTATCTTCATGAARCAGGATGTGTTATATAACCACCTGTGAAACACTCTGGTTTAGTTATAAACTCTTGTAACAAGCCACCTTTCTAACTAATAAAAACTGCAGTAGATAAATAAGCTGAACCACAGCAGCTTATCTGCCCCCTTGTGGTCGTTAGAGGGAATGCTGCCACTGACTGTCATCTGAATCCATTCTTTCCACTTTACATCACAACCAAATTAAACGTTACATCATTACAATCAACACTTCACACACAAAATAAAATWAACTGCCCACCGAAAAAAAAAACTTTTGTCTATTACACTTTCCACCTCCTCCTCCGTTTCTCCTGGATTAAACCACCTGCTCACATATTTAATCCAGAACAGTTTTGTTTATTATTTACTCATTTAAAGTTTTGCAGCCAAGTCAGTAAACTAATGCTTATTTATGTCCTTACAGCTGAAATGTGCAGTTAGCATAAATCTAAAACTGAAAGTGCGATTACCCATTAAATAAAAAGGCCCCTCACTTTGAACAATGCTTGATTGTGTGCGACTCCAGTGAGTGCAGACTTCATTACTGCGGCATGAATTGTGTTACAGTTTAAATCTGAAAACTGAACTTCAATTAGAGCTGGGCGATTATTTGATCGTGATAATTGATCGAGAAAAAAAATTCAGGTCGACCACGGTGATCAGCTGTGAGTCTCGTCCTCGATCAAACATGGCGGAAACATGCGCGACAACAGCCAATCAGAATCCACCTTCTCCTGCTCCACTTCCTTTTATAAGTTGCTAATGAAACGCAGACGGAGTCGCAGAATTAACCAAAAAAAAAGCAGGATTTTGTTAAGGGTTCCTTCCAAAACAAAAGTAATGAGCTTAGATCCTATCCAATTAGCAAGTGTGCACAAATTGTTGCTGTTTGTAGGTTTATGTTTCTTTGACATATTTAATGTGAAATTCAATTCTAAAACGTTAATTTTACAGGATAACTTTGTAAATCTGAGATTCTATGATTTACACATAAATGTTTGTTTTTTTCTTGGTAAATACCTTTTTAAATACCTTGCAAAGATAATTTAATGTTCTACTGAACCACAGCAATTCATTATGTTAGTGAAAGTGAAATAACAGCTATTATTATTATTTTTTATTTCTGTAGCTATTTATTTGTTAAATTATTTTTTAGTCACTTATTAGGGTAACAAAAAAAATCGCGATATTAATCGAGATCGGACGATGTGAAAAAAAATTAATAGTGATCATTTTTTTGCCATATCGCCCAGCCCTGTTTTCAGTCCAGCAGAAAGTTCTGTTTTATTTGTCTAAAGCACACAGGCTGATGACTCTGTGAGGGTTGTGGCACTCAGGAGCAGGTCTTGTGTACACAGATTACCTGGTTTATGAGTGTTTACACGAGGAACACCTGCTTGTGTTTAGATTATGTGTGYGTCTGTGTGAGAGAAATCCTCACTTTCATAAATGTAGTGTAGGACGGCTCGTCGGGCTGCGGGGGGTTCACCACCAAATCGAGCAGGGCCTGTCCGGGGACGGGGGGGCAGAGGCGCACCGACACCAGTTTGGTTAGCTGGGYCTTCACCTGGGGGTCCATGTTGAGCACCTCCATGTAGCCTCCGCGGAATCCACACCTGAAAATCAAACGGACAGAAAAAAAAAATGTTTTGTTTTATGTAAACAGGAACAATTAAAAAAGAATCTAGAAAAAGTTAGCGTGAGCGACTCACTCTCCCATGTAGCACTTGGAGGTGGAGTGGAAGGACGCCATCTCTACCTTACTGGAAAACTCTGGTCCCATCTCAAACAAAACCTTCTTAAAGGAGTGAAACTTGCAGCCGTCTGCGTAGACGTTATCCTGGTACACCTGCAGCAGGGAAGCAACTTTGTTAACAATAAATAAATAAATAAATCAAAGTGTAAAAGTTGATGAGGACTAAAAAATAATTGTTTTTTACCTGTTTTGATCTGTGAAAATTCTTTGCAGCTTCTAACTTTAATCATGTTTAAGATATTAATTAGTGCGTTAAACTCTTAAGCCCCAAGGGGTTTTTCTGGGGTTTTTTCTCAAAACACCATGTTGAAGTGTAACTGAGTGTATCTCAGCATTTACAAACTCCACCTAAATCATCTTGGTATCAAAACAAAGCTAACATGTGGGAGATTTTATCAGAAGTGTAAATATTAAAACAGCTGCTGTGGTTTTAGAGATATTGAGGATGGAACATTATTTTTATTTATTTTTTTCACTCTCACCTGAATAATTTCTCATTAGACAGTATATC